GAAGACCCAACCGCCAAGAAGGAAGCTGACCGCTGCCACCGCCGCCGCGCTATAGCCACTTTCGACCGCCAAAAGAAGTAAAAAATATTTTTTTTGCTCAAAATTTGATTTTAAACACTCTCATGACCAAATTGAAGAAAAAGAACTGCCGGATTGGCCGAAAATCGCAAGTAACCGTGATAGCGCTGCCACGGGAAAATGCAAAAATTACCTCCGATGAAGCCCTTTCTAATTCCCGTTCTACGTAATTCTTCCACTATTGTAATCACCATTTCTTTCTCTACATATTGACCGAAGCACACCCAATCGCAAGGTGAGCTGGCGGAGCCGCTGCACCAAAGGACCCTGCCGCCAGTAAGTTTCAATTTTTTGAATTTTTTCGGTTAACCGAGCCCCCTTAACGTGTTTTCTCATAGAAATTGACATAAAATTGGTCGAATTCGACCAAAAACGGCTGAAAACAACCGACCACGTCGTGCTGGAATCTCGAAGCAAAAAGGACGGTAGGTGAGCTGAAAACTGCGGGCAAAGCCCGTCTGAATCATTACGGCCAAAATCCTAAAACTCCTTCGATGAACTCCTTCTCGTTTCCTGTTTCACACAATTTTTTTTACCATTGTGTTTACTGTCCTTTTCTATGCAGGTTAATCGAAGGAAAAATCCTAACCGCGAAGGAAAACCGGCAGAGCCGCCGCACCCGAAGACCCCTCTGCCGGTAGATTCGATTTTTTTTTTTTATTTTCTAGCCAACCAAGCCCCTTTAACGTATTTTTCCGTAGGGATATGTATAGAACTAGCCAAAATCATCCAGGCCAAGACGAACCACCACCGTAGGGGGTGGAGCCGAAGCTGGAGCAAGGCGGCATTGCCGTGCCAGAACCTTAAAATTGGCCGGAAAGGGTTTTCAACATCGATTTTAGATTTTTGAGGTATTTTTAAGTATGTGACAGGTGTTTTGATTCCCGCAGAAAAAATTCAGGAAATCCGGAACTTGTTAGGAGGCGTAGTAGATAGTACGACGTTTCGAAACACTAATCTGGGTAAAGATCCCTCACCCTATTCTCTGTTACGATAAATTGAGGATTAATAATCGATAATTATATATTTTGTGAAAAATTAAAAAAATCCTAAAATTAATTATAGGTCACTAATAGAGACAGAACCAGTTAGTTCATATTTGTACTGATCCCCTGTTTATTTTTCTGTACTGCCTAAACTGCTTACTATTATATTATCCGTATTTAAATTGATATTTTCTATGGTTTTCTCCATTATTTAGTTTATTTGGTTCCTCCTGCGTTGTTTATTTGGTTATTTGGTTACTTGGTTATTCGATAATGTTAAACTATATCACTTGTTTAAATGTCGTTTAAATAAATCAGTGAATATAAATGGAGACGTTAATATACTTTGGTGGTTGTTTGGATGATGAAAATTTAAATAAATGAAAGCTTACTGGGCATCATAGGAAAGGGTGGATGGACCCGGTACATAGGAAACTCTACTGTGGACATTATCTCAGTCAGACGGGACTGAGAAGTCTCATACTAAAATAGTTTTAAAAGATATGGTTCATCCTCATACCGAACGAGATATCGAGGAGATGATGTTTTTGGCGCCCATTACCGGGCGGGTTATGGGGACGGCTGGATTAATTGTCAAATCTTGATACTGGGTTCACGAGTAGAAGAATATCCCTATGGACCCCCAGGGGTCCCAATAAGTAGGTTAAAAAGGAAGAATTGTTGATTCTATAAATGAAATTGAAATGTCATTAGGTTATTTGTCTTCATAAGTTGATTTTGAGAAAAAATCGTGATAGTAAGTATCGAATAAAACGTTTTAAAGTTAAATGTATTTACTTAAAACAAGGGCTCCATTAGTTATTTTTTGATTTTTTTACAAACCTTCGATTTTTCATATCAGTGATTAGTGTGATATTCTTACTGGATTAGTGTAGCTCACCTTTTTATTAACAATTTCAAATTAAGAACACAAATATCCAGATCCTGATCAGTAAGAGGGTTGTGAATAATTCACCTCCCGGACTCATTTCAAGTGCTAGTGGAGGTCAATCCCTACGATATCTATTTATTTATTTTTTATTATCGTTTGTCTTTTATGAACCAATATAGAAGGGACATTCTCGTAACCCTATTGAGTATATCAATTTACTGTGTAAGAAATGTAAACTCTAACTTTATTCTTTGCTTTCGCATTTAGAAATACAAATTTATTTTCTTTGAGTTCCGAACTTTTACAATTTAAGTATTTATATAAATTTTAACAATCATATATATTTTTAATGTACAGTTAGAATAATCATAATTTTATTATCAAACCTCGTAGTACATAGGTTATTATATCAAGACGATCCAAAGAATCAGAAATATTATATTAGTAAGAAATTTGAGTTAACATGAGCTAATATGGGTGCCATAGGGATTATTCTCTTTTATTTTTTTTTAAATGTCCAAATTTACCCTCATAGTGATGAATTAAATGAGCTAATAATCACTAATCTATATAGAAATCAATAACACACTAATAAATTAAACATATGAAAAAAATGAAATCTCTTTTCCCCCCTTATCAATTAAAAAAAAAAAAAAAGAGCATGCTATAAAATTGTGAGATTTTTTTTCAATATTTTTTTAAAAAAGAGCATGCTATATATATATATAGAGAGAGAGAGATATATATATATATAATATATGGTGGAAATTAATAATTCCAACAACTTTTCATCTTACAAATGATATTTATTTTTCTCCACCTACCGGAATTTATTTAATTGTTGTAATATTTTTTTTTTTTAAAAAAACAATAATTAGGTAAAATAGTTTTTTCAATTAGGCAAAGGTTAGTTTACCCAATTAAAAAATTGAAAAAAAAAATACACTACATTATTCTCTTAATCAATTGCTTATACAATTTGATTTTGACATTCATATGTATTGATTGTACGTAACCAATTAAACAAGCTTTTTATTTTTTTTTCTCATTAAAAAAAGCAAGATTTTTTACAATGACCCATCACTCAATTTCATGTCTAATTCTCTAAATTATACATAGATATATTTGTATGTATATATATATGTGTGTGTGTGTGTGTGTTTGTTTTTTTTTTCCCCTTAAATAATTACTTATACATCATTATTCATATATATTAATTGTACGTAGCTAATTAAAAAAGCTTTTTTCAAGGACCCATCAATTAATTTCATGTCTAATTCTCTACATTATACATAGATATATTTGTATATATATAAATGTAATTAATTACTTATACAACATAATTCATATGCATTGATTGTACGTGGTTAATTAGAAAAGCTTTTTACAATGACCCATCACTCAATTTCATGTCTAATTCTCTTTTATATATACATATATATATATATATAGCTTGTGCCCCCATCATGATCGAATTCGTGGGCATTTTTGGTCACCGTGCTTTTGATGGGCTTACACGTGTCTAACAAATTAATATTTTATTTTATTAAAAAAAGGAAATAACACCTAATCATAACTAGTTGAGGTAACCAAATATCTTAATCAAAAAAATATATTTAAATATTAATATTATAAGATTGATTATTATGACATGTTACTTGATTACATATTAAATTATTATAATTAGCCATTAATTAATCTTTTCCTGGCCTAACCAACTCAAATCAGACTTATGGCAAATTAATACCAAACAAAAATTAGTAGTTAGGTAGTTATAGTCTTAGGTCCACTCCATTTTGGACCTCCCTTGCCCATTTCACTCTACCAAATTGATGAATATTTAATTTAATTTGGTAAGTCAAATTAATATTTCAACATATATATATATATATTTGTGTATAGATTAATATCTCAATTTGCAATCGTGTAGTTTATATAGGCACAAAATTTCCATATATATATATATATGTGTGTGTGTGTGTGTGTGTGTGTACTATTGTCAAAATTATGACATTGGATTTATGTATTGTTGAATAAAATAATGATCATTAATTTCTTTTTTAAAAAGAGATTAAGATGTATGATTATGATAACCATTTCCTAATTCAATGTTACAATTTCATAGATATAACAAAACACATTATTGGTTACTTAATTGTAATATTAGAAACATATAATATACATATATATAAACTCTGTTCTTAAATTCAAACCCCACATAAACATTTTTTAAAAATCATTGCTTATGGTGTTTGATTAAAGAGAGATTAATCTCAAATTTCTCAAAACCAACTAAAACTAAGTTTACCCAGATTGAATTAAAACTAAGCCATATCTTGAGGCTTTTGCTTTTAGCTTTAGCACAGACATATATGTATATATATTATATCGTAAGTGGTGATGGTGTTTTTGCAGGCTTTTTTTATTTTTACTTTGGTATCTGCAAAAGGGTTGAATCCTGATGTAGATCCACCAATCACAGGCCAAAGCACACCTCCGGCTTGTCGTTTTAATTTCATAACTTCATTATTTTACCCTCCTCGACTGCATCAGATCAAAAAGCTAAATAGTTTATTAAACAAACGAAGGTGATTAAAGTTGTCTCTATTTTTTTTTTTTTTTTCTTCTTCTCTTCAATAAGTTGTATCTTTTAAATGGGATTATCATGATAAATTAACTTTAATAATAAATAATTATAGTTCAAAAATCTTCTTTAATAATTACCCTCATAGAAAATAAGCATATAAATTATTCTTATCCTTCATTTACTTTATACGTAAATAATAATAATACATATACATATACATATACATATACATGATGTTTGAGAATATATTTGTGTGTTATTATAAACATCACATTCTAAGTTATCATTTAACAAGATTCTTGTGTAGACAAACTTTTTTCTTTTCTTCCATATTATTGGGTATTGGTAGATGTTAATTTTTTAATTAATAAATAAATAAAACTCATTCCCAATTGGATCTTAATCCATTATAATTAGAAAAATATATTCGTTATAAAATATTTTTTTTTATTTAAAAATATAATAAATTCGTTTTAAAAGTTTAATCCAACAATTGACTGAAATTTGACCAAAATGCCCATCCCACGATTGAACCAAGAAGACGGCAATTTGGACTTTTTAAGGATTATCCAAAGAAAAATACGCCGGTCAACCGTCTCGCCCTTATAATCCCCCACCTTCACTTTCTACTTTTTGTTAGTTAAAGAACCAAAAAAAAAAAAAAAACATTAATACCAAACAGCTTATAAAAAAACCATGACAAAACCAGACCCAACCTTCAATTTCCATGGCGAAAACCCTTCGTGAAACCCACTGCGAAAAATGACCCGGCTCTGCAGAAACACTCTTCATCTCGACGTAAAGTGCAGCATAGCAGAAAAAGTCTCCATTTTCAGCAAAGTTTTTCGTTTCATATGGGAGAAAATCCTCGTTTGCTCCATAGGTAATAAACCTGCTAGTTACAGGAGGTTGACTCACCGGATTTCTTCTGTTAATTCATCCCCAGAGGAAGTTTCCGATGCCGGACCGGCGGTGCGGGAGGAGGATCCCATGGTAGCTGCTGGGTCTGAGACAGATTCTGATTTGGTTACCTTGAAGATCAGTTTATTGGGTGATTGCCAAATTGGAAAAACGAGCTTTGTGGTGCGCACCCATATCTACTTCTCTTTTCTCTTATATCTATATATCTGTACATATATATATATATATATACATAAGGATGAACTGATTTGAATTTTTTGATTTACTGGGGTTGAAGGTCAAGTATGTAGGAGATGAACGGGAGAGGTGTCTGGAGATGACAGGGTTGAATTTGACAAGTAAAACATTATCTGTTCAAGGAGCCAGGATTTCTTTCAGCATATGGGATGTAGGAGGTAGGGGCAGATTAATTAATCATTAATCTTGTTTAATTAAGCTTTGTTTTAAGTTAATTAGCTAGTAATTAATTGAGCTTTGTTCAATTAATGTGTAGGTGACAGCAGGTCACTTGATCAAGTCCCAATTGCTTGTAAAGATGCAGTAGCAATTTTATTCATGTTTGATCTCACGAGCCGGTGTACTCTTAACAGGTTTGCAACACGTATCCAATAACATTAATTAATTAACTTACTAATTAGAAATTATAAATTAATTAACAAAAATTTTGATAATAACTTTCTGTGAATTTGCAGTGTTATTGAGTGGTACGGTCAAGCAAGAAAGTGGAATCAGGTACCATACTAAAACAGTAATTACCAGTTTTATTTTTTTTTAAAATAAGTTTTTTTTTTTCATACTCTATTTTTACTTAAATATATTATAAGAGAACTATACTAAGTACGTAAATATTTTAATCCGAAAGAATAATAATATATATGAATACATCGTTTCTAATTATTTGAGGGGTAATGTTGTTTTGTTATAGACCGCGATTCCTATACTAATCGGAACTAAATTCGACGTTTTCTCGAGACTCCCTCTGAATTTGCAATGGACAATTGTAATGCAGGTATTTATAACTACATTTCCATTAGTTTACTTCCATGTTTAGAAATTAAAATTTGATGGAGTATAATGACATTAAGTAGCATGTGATTTTCAAGACTTAGTGTATTCACTTAATTAATTGAGCTTAAATGTTAATTTCTCACGAGTTTGGCAAGTGATTTTGAAAAGGGCTTTTTTTTTTCTCTTTGGAATAAAAGAGTCTTCCATTGTCAAGTCTTCGTAACAGTAATGAGTTGATGCCCACTTTTGCTTTTCATAACTATTAATTTATTAACATATCAGTTCAAATAATTATTTAAAATATTTAAACACGATTTATTCATTTTAATTTTGTTTTATTCGTAAAATAAAATGAAATTATTAATTTAAACTAAATTTTAATTTAGAAATTAATTTAATAGTTTGCGTAAAAGAATTTATGACGTTGGCATTTTTCTTGTGGCATTATTATTCTTCTTCTTCTTCTTCTCTCTCCGCGTCTAAAGATAAAAGAAGACATCAAATGGGTCACTTCATTTTTTTTTTTTTACAAGTATTATAATCTTTTAAATAAATTAAAAAATATATATAAATTGCACTATAGAAACTTCATAAATAATATATAAAAAGTAATAATATACGGAATTAAAAGTGAGTGAATGACCAACTACTTATTGATATGTATTTATTTTGTATAATTGATTAATATATATATATATATATATTTAATTTAAAAAGGGTGAATGGAAATTCAATTTTGTGGGCAGGCAAGGGCATATGCAAAGGCAATGAAGGCGAGTCTTTTCTTCTCAAGTGCCACCCACAACATCAACGTGAACAAGATATTCAAATTCATAATGGCTAAACTCTTTAACTTGCCTTGGTCTCTCGACAGAAATTTGACCATTGGTGAGCCCATTATAGACTTCCAATCATAGTATATACGTATACCCATCATGTACATATACACATACATATATTTATAGCCCAACCCATATCAAAACAGATCCCAATCTAACCCACCCACATTACCATTCCCAATTTTTTTTTTTTATTTTTTTTATCTTCTAGTATTTCAATTATGACTTGTCAAACAGAATTTCTATTTTCCGAGTTACATGATCAATAAAAGATATTATGTGTAGTAGTAATTTAGTATCTTCCTATGCTGATATTTAAGTAACTAGATCGATTTGTAAACAATCGTTGCCGATCTTATTAAAAACGGGATTAGAAACTAAAAGTTTAAATATAACGATCAATTTGTATAAGACGTAAAACACCTACCTCGTGATAAATTTGGAATTCAAGAGCCGAGGATGTTGCTCTTCCTTAACAACCCTTCTTCGTATTCTTATTAAAATTAATGGTAACAAAAGTATTATTTTTTAAGATCGATAGACAAAATATGTGTAATATTGCATCGATCATAATACATTAACAAACAATCTTAAAATAATTTTATTCGAATTTCTAATATTTTTTTAAAAAAAAAAAGATGTATAAACTATTAAAGTAAGTAATAATTTATTATAAATATCTTAATTACATTTGTTGTTTTTATCATCTACGTGCATGGTCGTATAAATTATTAATTTATAATAACTAATAAAATTTAATGATTAGATAAAGATTAAACTAAGAGAAATATACTCTTCAATACGTATTAATTATTAGAAATAACAAAAACATCAATCTAGACTAAATTAGAAAACTCTCCTCTTCATTCAAATGTACCTTATATATATATATATATAACATGCTAATTATATCTTATCATATATAAGCATATATACCATCAATACAGAGAATAACTGGTATTATAACTGCAGCTTTAATGGTGTTCTTCATTTCTTTTGCTTTCTTTATTACAATTTTCTTCTCATCTTCCTTCAGTCCATCCACAGCGTATAAAACGAGATGTTCTAGTACTTGTCCAAAATTCAGAAAATATTGAAGAAGAAGAATTTCAGTCATGCTTCCCATAAATTTTTCAAATACCACTACTTTCAACGTAGTTTTTAAGCATTTGTAAGTAATCGGATTGTTTATCCAGAAATCATCTGGCTTTAACTCAAATGGAGGTACATACCCCTGAAAATTGAGCACAAACCAATTTAAGTTTCATACAAATGCACATATATACGTAAACATATATATATATATACACACACATATTGCTTGAGTTTGAAAATAAATTTGTTCTTTTCAAATTAATGTCAAAGGTTTCATCTTCATTTTTCAAATATTGTTTTTATTTTAAGTACTTTATATATATATATATATATATATATATGATTATAGAAGAATTTAAAAGAAAATAAAAACTAAAATAATTTTATACGAATTATATAAAAATATGGTTTAATACTACTTACAGTTAAGATTGTTCCATTTCCTGGAACTAGGTCAAATGTGATAGTTTCTAATTTCGAACAATTGTTTAACATGAATCTGATTCCCCAAAATTCATTTGGATGTAATTGGATTTTTAAAATTAGATGTCTTATCTCCAGTGAACGTCCAGTTATAGTTAACGATTGTAATCCACTTGAAATAACCTAAAATGAAGAGAAATATAAATATTATATATTCACACATACATATAGAAATAATTTTGTTTACAAGAATTGAATTTAACTCGAATAGAGAAATAAAAAATGAATGTATTGATCATCGTCCATAATATATACCATAACAAGAATCGGCCATTTAAATATATTTAATAAACTTCACTTCTTATTATTTAAAGAAAATAATCGATCCCCTCATAGCGGACAAGTAAAAAAAATGCATTCTAAATAATTATCTCATGATGAAAATATAATTTAAATTATCGTAAAAGATTTAAAAAATTATCAAATAGATATACTCATAGTGATAAGTAATGGAAAAATATTATAAATAATTATTTCATAATAGAATAAATGTGTGTACATATTTATATATACATATATCAAATTTAAATTGTTACAAAAAAATATTTAAGACTCATATTAAATAGAACATCCTTTTGTTATACTATAAATCAACATGAAAGTTAATAAAATCATAATTTAAAACGTTATTTAGGGTTCTACATTCGGATAATAATAAATAGATATAAAGAATATTGGCTTTTCATTGGGAAGAGAAAGAAAACACATTAACCTATAACTCTTATGCTGTAAACATAAACACACACACACACGAACAAAATACTTAATATTCTGCTGCAAACATACATAGATAATGCAATAATTCCCCTAGCAATCCCAAAGGAGGATCGAAGAATGTGTGCGTATACATGTTTGTGTGTGAAAGCACAAATCAACAGCGAGCACTATATATATATATACATATTCTATTAATTAACAACTTTCATTTACCTTATAAGCCTAGTTAACAATACCATGACTAGTATATATTTCATGCTTGATTAGATTAATCCTATTTGTATTTGTGCTCTCCAAATCTCTATATACCAATCACTAAAAGAATGACAAAAGTAAAGTCAGAGTCAATAGGAATCATCAACATGAGATATATAACCATATGTATATGTATGTGGGTGTGTGAGACCTTTTTATCATCTAAAAAGAAAGAAAATCTGCATAAGATAGTCAACTAAAGAAATTACATCTTTCAAAGTATAATTATCAACAATTAGCAGACAAAAACTTTCAAGAAATAAACCATATATATATATATATATGTATACCTGAAGGATGTAAGTGCAAATAGTCAAAACCCTAGCATAAGTGAGATCTCGGAGGAGCATCTGCAGATAATCACCAACTTGTTGAAACTCTTTCTCCACTCCAAAATCAAGTTCAACATTCTCCACCGGAGTTCCCACATTGTCAAAATGTAAAATACCAAGTCTCCCACTGTACTTAAACTCTTTCAGATTCGGGGAATCAAAGCACCACCATTCGTATCCACAATTCTCAATCCTCAACTTCCTTAACTTCAAATTCCTCCCTCTAATCTCCATGCCTTCCCCTCTATTCCAACACCTCTCCAAACTCAAACTCCACAGCAATGGACACTTCTCCATCACAGCTTTCATGGAAGCCGATTCAAGTTCAATCCATCCTAAAGAAAGCTCCTTTAACGACCCAAAATTACCGAACCACTGATCCATAAAACTGCAGGAATAAAGCTTCATGGATTGAAGATCATGGTTTCTGTAAACCGGACCTGGTATGTTACAAACCGCCTTGTGGGTTTTTTTGGGATCGTCTTGTTCCCATGAAGGATCAGAGAAATCGAGGTACAACTCTTTGACATGTCTAGAAGAAGGAAATGATAAAACGGCGTATAAATCGTCCTGAAATGGTTTAGGATTGGAGAGTGAGAAAGAGAACTTATCTATCTCGGATTCACGATCAGAATCGTTAATCCATCGACGAACAAACTCCATGAACTCCCTTCTTTTATTCTCCCTGATCTCCTCAGAGTCACCAGGCCTGACGAAGAATCTCTCCAAGAGCTCAACACTTCTGGTTCCGCGCCAGATATGACGCCA